TTTTAATAAATATTTATTAAAATAATATTTTTTATAAATATTAAGAGATAAAACAGATAAAGCATGGTTCCTTAAATAAATTTATAAAATAAATTATATTTTTAATTTTTAATTTTTAATTTATTCTGTATAATCATTAAAAAAATATAAAAATTCTATTAAAAAATGAGGAGGAGATAGGACCAAAAAATAAACAAAGATAACGAAAGATTTGAGTCTCCAGGACGTCGAGGTGGCATGATTTAAATCACAGGGTAATATCCTTCCCTTTTCCTGCAGTGGGAGGAGGAAGAAGAGAGGGGGACTGGGTCACTGAGTTGTATAGGAACACCAATTTCAGAAAGATTTGCAGTTCTTATGCTGTACGTTCTACGTTGACTCTCCTCTCGTTCTGTCTTCTACTCCATTTCTTAATTCCTTTGTTTTGTTAAGAATTTACCATATCTACATTTTTCGACTCATTCAAAATGATATACTCTGCAGTTTCTTCCTTTTGTTTTTGAGGATCCAGTCTAGAAGAATTACTGAAATTGTGTTGGTTCTTGAACTCTTTGCCAAGTCTCCATAACCCCAAATTATAGAATTAGGCTTCTTTGGTTTTCAGTATTTACCTATGGCATCCGTGGTGAATTCAGTGTCTTATAACACAAATCCATGTCTAGAAACTAGAAGAAAAGCTTGTGGGTTATTTTCCCAGATCCCAAATTTTGTTTCTTTTTCAGTTAACAAGGGTTTTACAAGGGTTTTGGTTTCTAACCCGGTTACCATTTCTTCAACGGGCTCTGGTTTTACACTACCTAATTGGAAGTCAGGGAGAAATGGGTCGGAAATTATGGAACTGAGGCTCAATGATGCCTTTTTTCACATGGAGAGGATGGTGGGGAAAGGGCAAATGCCTGATGTAGCTCAAGCCACACAGCTCTTGTATGATTTGTGCAAAGCTAACAAGGTGAAGAAGGCAATTATAGTGGTGGAGATGATGGTTGATTCTGGTGTTATGCCTGATGCAGCTTCTTACAATTTCTTGGTGAACTGTTTATGCAAGAGAGGAAGTGTTGGACATGCAAGGCTGTTGGTGGAAAAGATGGAGAATCATGGCTACCCCACTAGTATGGTTACCTACAATACTCTTCTTAGAGCGCTTGGTAAGCATGGACACTTGAAGCAGGGCCTGCAGCTAGTGGATAAGTTAGTTCAAAAGGGGTTTGTCCCTAATACATTCACTTATTCGTCTTTGCTGGAAGCTGCTTATAAGAAAAGAGGAGTAGATGAGGCGATGAAGCTTTTCGATGGGATTATTGCCAAGGGTGGGAAGCCAAATATGGTTACTTATAACGTTCTATTGAATGGGTTGTGCAAGGAAGGGAGGACTGACGAAGCAATTAGGTTCTTTAGGGATTTGCTTTCAAAGGGATTCAATCCAAATGCTGTGAGTTATAACATTTTGCTCAGGAATTTATGCTATGAGAGGCGGTGGGAAGAAGCAACTGAGCTTTTGGCTGAGATGGATGGTGAGGGTCGCTCTCCCTCAGTAGTTACTTACAATATATTGATTGGTGCCTTGGCCCTCCATGACAGAATTGAACATGCTCTAGAGGTTTTGGATGAAATGATTAGAAGAAATTTTAAAGCCAACACAGTAAGCTACAACCATATAATTGCTTGTCTTTGTGAAGAGGGGAATGTTGATCTTGTAGTTAATCGTCTAGATGAAATGATCCACCGGCATTGTAAGCCTAATGAAGGAACATATAATGCCATTGCACTCCTATGCAATCAGGGAAAGGTGCAAGAAGCATTCTCCATCATACAAAGTTTGGGGAACAAACAAAATGCATCTACACATGACTTCTACAAGAGTGTGCTTTTAAGCTTGTGTAAAAAAGGGAATACATATCCAGCATTTAAGCTTTTATATGAAATGACTAAGGTTGGATTTACTCCTGACTCTTCTACCTACAAATCTCTGATTCTAGGGCTTTGCTTGGATGGAATGCTAGATGGTGCAATGGAAATTTTCGCATTCATGGAAGAAAACAAACTTGGATCAGGTTCAGACAATTTCAATACACTTATTCTTGGATTCTGCAAAGCCCAGAGAACTGATTTAGCCCTGAAGATTTTTGAGATGATGATAGAGAAGGGAACCAAGGGGTATATGCCCACAGAGGCAACTTACTCTATACTGGTGGAAGGAATGATTCATGAAAAGGAAATAAATTTGGCAGCATATGTCTTGAAAGAGTTGCATAGGAGACAGGTTGTGAGCCAATATACTGTAGAAAGATTTGTTATGCAATATGACCTTGAGGGTTTCTCATTATAAAATCTATCCTTCAGGACATGAATATATAGGGAAAATGGATAAAGGAAGATGACAAAGACTCTGCATTGTTTGAGATGGATGATTCAATCAGTTAGGGTCAGAACTCTTAATAGGTGAAATGGAGGCTAATATGGATGAGTTGGTACTAAATTCTTCTTTTAGAATGTGAAAGAAAACAAGTTCAACTTTGCCGTAGTTGTTTTGTGAATTAAGGTTTGTCTATATGTGGAGAACTTTGAATTTAATTTTACTTTGTTGTTTGTACAAGTAGATTATGGTCATATCTATGACATCATTTCTCCATTTCAGAAAAAACTGGATTGTCATCCGAAAAAGGTCCAAAACAAACAAGGTAAAAAAAAAAAAAAAATGTAATCTGTCTCTCAAATTTTTGGTCTTTTGTTTCAAAACTCTAGGGTGAGACCAACAACCCAATATAAAGCGGTTTGATAAAAAATGGTCTTTCACTATGGCTCACATTGGCATACTAGTTTCTGCTCTGACCCATGCCTCACCCATCTTTCTTCATTGAAACAGCATAACAAGAAAACAAACACAATTTGTGAGGCTATATTTGGTTCAACGAAACGATTATTTGGTAGGTTATTCGTGAAAATAAGGTAAAATGGAAGAGAATAGGACAAAGTGATAAAAGGTTGCCTATTTGCTTGTAAGTGACAATAAGTGCATTTTGGCTCAGCTTCTAAAAGGATCTTGACCGTTGCGAAAGCTGAAGTTGAGTTAAAGTCATCTCACTTCCTCCCTTCCCCTGTTGTTTTTGTCTGCATTCTTCTGTTATCAACAAGGGATTTGAAGAGTAAGCGGAAACCAGAAATGTTTTTCTCCTCTTGGGTTTTAAGCCAAGGATTGGTGTTGACTCCATTTTTTGATAATTAGATAATTACTGGTCCTGAGATACCAAAGAGGGCACGCCTTTCGTCTTCTCTATTCTGTTTCGTTACTTAGAAAGTAGGATTCGAAGAGAAAAATCAAGACTCAAAAAGGATTTTCTACCCTTGAGTTCACCAAGAATTGGGTTGATCTCATTTTCTTTAGCTTTTAGATAATTATTGATTCTAACTTCTAAGCCACCAAACACAGACCATAGCTTTGTTTTCTTTAGTTTTAGATAATTATTGGTCGAGTTTTTCTTCTGGTTCTTCAAATAAATTCCCACGATCTTTGTCTAAATTTTGTTGAGGAGAACAAGAGAAACGCAAATAAAACAAAGGGATTTTCTTCTAATTAAATGATGATTGTCCCCGGCGAATCTCTTCCTTCCCCTTTCATGCAAAAAGTTATTAGTCTATTTTGTTTTACTATTGTATTAATTTCCATTAAAATAGCAAACTTAGACCCATTAACAGAAAATTTCGTAAGGAAAACGAGGATCAACAAGAGACTCGCACATAAAATTTACCATCCGAACATGCACAGCTCAAATCCTAGCTACGAAAACAAACTTTATCCTAACCGCGGGCTGGTCCTAGGCTCCCAGCTCATTATGAACGAATAAGTAACAAATTTTTTAAGCAAAGGCAATATAACAAGTTATAATGTGGCCTTCATCCTCACCACCAAGATGGTATATAAAAATTTGCAACAAACTTGAACTCAAAGCAGATAACATAAAAACCTTAAATAAGACATAAACCACTGTCAAACATCTTATAACCATTCAGAAGCATAATATAGCACTTAGCACTTAACTAAACAGAACACTTAGTATAACTAGGAGAGTAAAACTTCCATTAGTCTTAACATTAAACCCAAGGCTAGTAGATGTAATAGACAAAGCTTCCTGGAAAAAGCATCCCTTCCACACAACTTCACACGAAGATGATAAAGAGGAGTGCCAGGATACAGCTCATCACGTCCATGCCTCAAGCGCCTACTTTGATCTTTGCCTCATCTTTCGGCGCTTCCTCTTAAGCCTCCTCATGCGCTTCTTCTTCCACTGAAAACCATAACAAACAAATCAATCATAATCTGTTAACTTCCAATCATGCTTAACAACATTTCCTACATATAAAACAGATCGTATGGTAGGACTAGGACATAAAGAAGCTCTGCCATATAGAAATGATGGAACCAGTGAAAAAGTACAATCATAAAACAATTATTGGCAAATTACAACCAAATTACCCTGTTTAGGCTTATGATTCTATCCAACCCAAAACACTTTTTCAAAATTTACAGGCGTCCGAACAACTAGAATGGTATCATTTGTGTTAATATGGTCCCAGCAAATGTAATCACAAATCCCATTTTTGAATGAATAAATTAACTCAGAGAAATACAAATCAGAGATACAAAGAGGCAACAATACAACTCATGGCATAAACAACTCTTTTTCATCAAAACAAACACATTACTAGCTAATCTGCACATACTGGTTACCGAGCAGCTAAATCCTAAGCACTCGCAAAATTCATCGAAATTTTCAACCAATTACTTCAAAATAGAACAAACAATTTCTACAATAACATAAACCCTAAATCGAGGAACGAAATCAACAACTTAAGGCCAGGAAATTAATCGATAGCTAAAAGTGAAACGAAATCACCGATCAAAAGCGATTTGATCAAAAAAAAGAAAAGAAATACTAGAGAAGATGAAGGAGAAACTTGCCTTAGCTCTCATGTTCGCCGGCGGTGGTTTCTGTTTCTTCTGGAGTTCTCGAGCTCTGGATCGACCGCTGTGCCGACTGGAACCTTTTTGGTGCGAGGCGGAAAGAGTAGAGCTCTTGATTGTTATTTATAGGCCTAGCCAGTTGAAAACCCTAGTTCGTGTGGGAATAGCATGGGAAGTTCGAGGATATTTTGGTCATTAAAGTTTTAAATCTGAATTTAATTTCAATTTTTTATTTGTGACTACAGTTTGTTAACTAAAGATAATTTTAAAATTACTTTCTTAAAGCAAAATTATGTTTTTTTTTTATTGTATAATCAAAATTATGTTACTCAAAACCAATTAAAAAAATATAATTATCAAAAAGCAAATCCCTAAACATAAACTTTGCTTTTAAATCAATCCTCAAACTTTTTAATGTCAATTAAGCTGTAATACATATATGATTAGATAAGTTAAAGCCAAAGTTAATAAGAAATTAGGAAGAGTTGCATGCATAATTGGCGTTAAAATCATGCTCTAAGGAACTTTTAGCTTATATGAAAGTTCACATAAATGCAATATTAAATAAGAAAACACTCATAATTACTTGTATAATTCATATGTGATAACTTTTTTTTTAGGGTTTAGTACTAGAAATATACTGTTTTACGATCTAAGACCATAAAATATAAGCTCTTAAATGGGAGGAGAGCTCTCAATATTACGAAGCCTTCCTCCCATCTAAAAGTTAATATTTTATATAATTCAAAATGGTCTAAATTGTAAAATGCTATTTTGTAGCACTAAAATATCAACTTTTAGATTGGCTAAGAAAACTAGCCAGATAAGCCCTTGATGTTGGTTTCCTGCTAGCATTCTCTAGTGCATCATGCGGATTTAACTGGTTCAAAAATAAATTCGGGCTAGATTGAGCAAATAAAATAATTTGAGGGCTAAATGAGGGTTATTCCCAAATAGGACATCTTACATAATCAAAAAATGGAAAATTAAGAAAGAAATATCGCATATAAAGAATAAAAAATAAAAAATAAAAAAAAAGAAGGAGAAATACTCCTGCTTTTCCTTCTCCGAATGGGCTAACAGTGGACAATTTGCTCCGGTGGCGACGTACTCAAGACTTGCTGGTGACGAGTAAATGGAAAACCACCCTCCAAAGGAAGACGACGCCACCACTAGCGACGTTTCCTGTGAGACGGATCCTTCTCTTTCTTCAAATCGGCCGGACTCTCAATCCAATCACGTCGGCAGCACTGATGCTTTGGCGAAAGCTCTATCGTCAGTGCTCGTCTCTCTCATCAGGGACTTCGATTCCAAAGCTCAAAACACTCTTGATAGCCAAGACCAGCTTGATTCTGCCCTGGATCGTCTTACCCGAGGTTTGTAAATTATTCTCTTCTTCTCTGGGTAATTCAGTTTGTGGGTTTTTGTGAATGCATGTGTGAAATTCTTTAAAATGAAGAAACAGAGACTTCAGGAAATGAAAAGTTAGATCTTTAGCATCAAATTGATGAGAGTATAAAATATTTGAAGTTAAATTTGTTGTTGTGGTATTCAAGCTTTAATTTTTCTTGAATCCTTGAAACTACTGTGAATCAGTTAAGATATGGATGCACCCATGCGGTGAAAATCTGTGGTGGGATCCGTATGCATTACTTCGTTTGCACATTCTGTTCCTCGTTTAATTTTTTGGAGTAATATAGTGACATAATTCTTGTGCATTTACAGAGTTGGATCAGTTGTTAGAGGATGCTCCTTTGCAGTTCATCATGCAGCATGCGGCCAAGATTTCTAGTGTTAGAAAGAGAGTCTCATCATTGAACGCTGTTCTGAAGTCCATACAACGCCGTGTTGATAATATAGATCGAATGATTCAAACGGGCACGCTACAAGGTAACTATATTTTTTGATAATTTGCATCATGTTATAGTTTTTTGGATATTTAATTAGACATATGACATGACCATATTGATGAACTCTATTCCTATTCTTTGAATTAGTGTAATAATTTTTCAAAAATGCTTAGGGTGCTCTAAGCAGTCACTATATATCATATTTGATCACAATATTAACTGTGCAAGACTCCTAATGTTTTCTGGTAAATATAGATAAAAGTCTGCCACTAATCTCTTCAAAAATATTTTATTGATAAATTACTCAGATATTTAATATTCTCTTAAGAAAAACTTGAGTGGTACCACTATAAAATTTCTAAGGCTTTTTATAATCAGTATTTAAGAGTTAATTCTCAAATTACATTAGCTTCATATTTAATCATTCATTTTGAACCCATCAAGTGATGATACTTTGAATGATTTCTGTTAAAGGTGTTATGATGGTAAAAGATTGTCCCTGGAAGAGTATGTCTTATAACACGTTAGTCAAGGTTTAACCATAGAGATTACTTATTGATTTTTTTTCATTGACAATCCACATGCACCAGTGAATGGATAACATGTAAGTTTATTAAAGCACATAGATTCTATTGATTCTTTCTTATTCATTCCGGTGGAAAAGAGGATGGGATAAATATGGATCATTGTGTTGGTACTGTGAATACCGTTGGGTAGATGAGTTGGGGACATTCTATTTAGGTGGATGGCTACTATTTTACATTGAAAAGTATGTTAGATTGGATGGAGGATTCAAAGGATGAAAATAAAGCAAGTCACTAGTCTACTTGATATGGTCATTCTATGTTTACTAATGTTTTACCATAGCAAGACTTGTATGATTTATTCTTAAAGAATGGGAAAGGTTAAACAATGAGTGTATTCCTGAAAACTCAGAAATTTTAGTTGTTAAAATAATGAGAAAGCTAGCTTTCTTGGATTATGGTAGTCAAGAATCATGAACACTCAACAAGATTCAAGTTGAGTGGGGAAGGCAGATACAAACTTGGATTGATATCCAACACAGGTATTCCATGGGCTTCAATTGAGCTACATGCAGAGGTGAACATGTGGAACTGAGAGCTCAATTAGGAATTACTTTGTTGTATTTGCCCTGAGTAAAAGTAGTTTACTAAGTTGGTGCAGGTTCTACCCTTAACTTTATCTTTTTTATCATGTTGACTTGTTTTCTTTTAGGTGTATAGAACAGATTGATGATCATACTCATCCTAGTGTTCCTTAACAGTTATCTAATCAGTATCTTACATTTAGTGAGTGCCCGAAGGATGAACTTTCTATTAGGTGCCTCTCCTGATGAGATTTTGTACCATTAAGATTTTTGGATTTGAAGTCCACTTTAGGTGGTTGAACATCTTAGTTGCTTCCTAAAGCCTGATACCATTGAACATACTTAGCTCTTGTTTACTTGAAATCACAGAGGAGGACCATGTAACATAAAAGAAATCGATGCTTGAAGCCTTGAACTTCAGATTTGAGCCAAGGTGGTGGGATAAATAATGCATTTGGAAATTATCAAAATCATACAAGCAACTTACAAAACTTGTACTCATTCATTTGTTATTAAGTATTCCTGATAAAAGCTGGATTCTTATTCTAGTCTTTTATACGATGTATGTCATTATTTCATTTGGTTTTCCTGGATTCTTAGTTTTGAAATGTAATCACAGAGAAGACTGCCAAAGGAAGTTCGTGATTATATCAGCATCCCATTTTGAACTAGTGGTATGTTCTCATCCTTCTTTTCTTCAAAAATAGGAAATATTTGCTTGCCTGACTTCAGAGAGACTAGTACAACTCTCTCTTAGTTTTTCAGATTTTCACTTTCTGAAAAACAAAGATTCATAACATGATTTCTTGTCCTTTCTTAATTTCTCTACGACAGCTAGTCTGTTCAATCAAATCATGGCTACAAGACTCCTTTGATGATTAAGATTAAGTTGGAAGCTCTTGATGTCATCTTCATGATCACCTGCAATCGAAGGATCAAGCCAAATGGCCCTAATTTTCATTATCGTCGACTGTTAATAGAGGATCGAAATAATATACAAAATTTGTGAGTACAGAGTGAACAAACGTGACTAATATAGAAAAAATGACATGGTTAAACTGCCTTATAATTTTGATATGTTATTATATGATTGAGTCTTTTTCATTTAGTAACCAATATAATATTGTACATATATACATATATATATTTAATAATATATTAAAATTATAAATTTCCAATCTTAAGTAGTATTATAATTATATCATTGTATTGCAGAATATATGATGTTGGTTCTTATTGAGAGGGACATAAGAATTTTATTATATCTTGATTACACAATTAGATATAATTATCTTTCATCGTTTATTCTACTTCACATGCATATTATGCGATTTGAACTTAAAACTTTTTAGTTTTAGTAAAAAGATATAATTACTGAGTTATTTAAGTTCGTTGACAGATGGATATAACAATGATGCAAGACACTTACTAGTTCTTGGACTTGGACATTTGGAGCTCGTCCCCCTTATTCGGTTTTTCGACATACTTCGGAGGACCCTGGAGCTATACTGGGTCACCGTGTGGGTCATTGAGCCCAAAACACAAATTTAACTGAAACAATTGGAATTGGAAGATTTCAGCAAATAAGATATTTTTATAAATTAATTCAAACATTAACTCTCAATTATATTTATCAATAACTTTTATTAACTAAATCAATCAATTTAGTTAACACTTAGTACTTTTACGGGTTATTTTCACTAATAAGTAAATATTATTGGATTTATACCCTTTGGGCTCATATTAAAGTACATTAAATGTATTGTTTTATAATAAAATTTTATAAAAGTTATAAAAGTAAGACATTACTTTTAACACCAATATCACTTGGATGATTTTAATTGAGTAGTTGATAAATTTAAAGTTAATTTTTATTTTTTCTATATAACTTAATTACAAAAAGATGTAATTAATACTTTATTAGCTTCTACTTTAATGACATAGATTAGATAAATATTTTTATAAGTCAAAATTATAGTTCAAATTTTGAAACCATTATTTAAGAAAATTAACTTGCATAAATTTCAGGTCAAAATAAAAATACACATTGACAATTACTTGAAAAAATAATTTTAAAATGCATAAAAATTAAAAAACATTTTTGACCACTTCTCCTTTATAAATGATTTTTTGTACTCATCTTGATAGATATGAGATTTGAATTTGACCCATATATTTAAAAAAATTACAAAAATGAATTTAGATACCTGATAATAAATACTGAAAAAAAAAAAAACCAAACTTAGGCATAGCCAAAATTTGAGTCAATCTTTGTGCACGGTAGAATTCTGTGGTTGATTAGTAGAGGATATGAGGTCGCAAATTGCAACGGTGGTACAAAACAGTAAAGGAGAATAAATAAGAGAAGGACCACCAGAACGGTTAGTCTGAATAGAAAAGTTTAGTTTTTTTAAAAAAATTAAAATCTTAAACTTAAATCTTATGAATGAAAAATAAATATTAAAGAAAATTTTTTAAATGAAATTAAATGTAATGTAATTTTAAATTAATTAAAATTTAATATAATTACCATATTTAAAAAAGTTGTGTAAAAAAAAATTTAAATAAAGGAAGGACCACCGTGGTAAAAATAAAACCTTAAAAGAGAGCAGCAGGTAGCTTTCAATTTTCAAAGATATTTTTGGTAGACCGTTCCTATTACAAGGCACGCCGAGCCATCCTCCGTCCTCATCTGGGATTTCCAATCCTAGATACTGTGATGTGACACCCAAATACTTTCACGTGTTCCTTCACTGTTTTCACTGTACCACTAAAACGAGCAACTTTTTTCATTTTATTTTTAATTTAAATGTTAAAAAAGTTTAGATAATTCAGACTTGCCACGCCAGCCGGCTGCGGGCTACCCCAACCCACTCAATAATACACGACCCCCGTTACACTCCCTTCCACCACGTGGATAAAGCCGTTGCAACTTTGCTAATTGCGACCGATGGACATCCATGGCTTTACTGATTTGATTTTGGACACATCTTTCTTCTTCTTTTAAAACTTGATGATTTTTGGATAAGAAAGATATCAGAGATTTCTCTTCATCTCTGTTATGGTCAATAAATAAAATATTAAAATAATTTAAAAATTATAGAATGTTATTATAAAATTAATTTTATTTAATTTAATTAATAAAATAATTATAATTATTAAGTTATAAATAATAAAATAATTAATTTTAATTAATAAATTTAAAATAATTAATAAATTAATATTTTTAAATATCATATATAAAAATTTTAAATTAATAATTTTAATTTTTTTTTATAATAATAATAACCACACTTTCTGTTCAGTCTTGCAAAGTGAGATGAAGCCTTCGTTAAAGTATTTTATGGCCAGTCCAGTGCTTAGTAGGCTAGTGGGCACCGACTTGAGATGGTTTCCCAACCAATTCCTCGTGTTCATGAAAAAAAAAAAGAAGTATCTTATGGGTATTACCTTTTTTTTTTTCCCCCCAAAATTGGATGGAGTGTTCTTAAATTTTGTAATTATCCTCTTTTGCTGGGAGGATTGAGTCTGATAGTTTAAGTAGTTCTTTCAGTCTATTAATCAAAAGTTGTTTAAGGATTTATTTAAGTCCAACTTGTGTGATTATTGTCATAAAAAAAATGTTATGTGATTATTTAGTTATTATGAATGATTAAGATTTATTTTAAAAAATATGAATAAATCTTAATTGTTCATAATTAATAGCTATATTAATAATTAAAATTTTATATAAATAATATGTATAAAAATGTTATATAAATAAATTTTAACTTTTAGTCTGTAAATTAATTTTAACATATTAGTACAAATATCAAATGTTATTAATTATCAAATTAAATAAAATTAATATTTAAAAGCAATATTAAGAAATTTATGTGATCGAATGCACAAATACTCAAAATCTAAATCTAAATTTATAGCTAGACATATGTATATATGAATTGGTAAATGCCAAAGGGGGGGGGGGAATGAGAGAGAGAGAGAGAAAGAGAGATTCAATGCAGCACGTTATTTCATTCATTGATGCCCCAATTTCCAGAGACTTTGCAGGATTATAATAGTCATTAACTGCCTTTGCATCAATGAATGAGTAAAAACTCGAATCATTAACTGCCTTTGCATCAAATGAATGAGTAAAAACTCGATGCACAAAGAAAGTAAGAAACAAACAATTGATCCCCCTCACCCCTCACCCCTCACCCTGCTTTAATGAGCCTCCAAGTATATTCATTCAGTATGGATAAACTGAACCACCTGCCACTCTGTCTCTAACCACTTATTTTTCCCGCCTTTTTTTCTTTTTAATCTTACCCTTTTCGGCATTACTTCCTCTCAAGGCCACCCCCGAAGACCAAAGTCCCAAACAAATATAATCACAGCATGATTTTATATAAAACACCAATAACCTTGTATAGAAAAGTGACTGAGTCATCTGCTTCCCTTGTGGTTCGCAATGGGTACATGCTTGATGGTTCTAATTACTCCTTTCCATCTTATCTTATATATGTTTAGTTTTTTTTTTTTTTATTTGTATTTTAAAGACACAAATTAAATATGTAATTATTATATATTTTAAAATTAATTAATATTAAAAATATAAAAAGTTAACATTTATTTAATTAAATATTCAATCAAAATAATTAATATACATAACAATGATAATAAAATTAATATTAGTTTTTGTGTTTTTCTTTTTTTAACATTTTGACAAAAAACGAGTTTCAAGAATGGAGAATGCACCGGCTGACTGACTAATGCCAGTGGGTCTCTAGGACCAGGTGCATTAGTTTTTGTGTTTTTAAATATCAATTAAAGTAAAAAAAGTATAATAGTTGCATCTTTAAATATAATAAAAAACCCATATAATAATATAAAAATATATAGTTTAAATTATATTAAATTATAAATTATTAAATAGAAAAACAATTCCAACATTAAGAAATTTATTTTTTATTTACTAATTTAAGTTATGCATTTTAAAATAAATCATATTTTTTAAATAATAACTTATTTTAAAAAA